ACGCCGCTCAAAGGGGCGGGGCATGCGACGAAGAACCATTGCGGGAGGGATGGCTGCGTCCGACGCTGCAGTGCGGGCGAAATGTCGGGCTTGGGGTGCGAGCTACTGCTTGCGGCGGGCACTATTGTAGTGCCTCGCCGCACCGCAATAGGGAGATTTTTAATGTATTTTTCTTCAATTTCAATCTATTTTTAAGTTTTAAATCTTAAGATTCGCCAAATATCCCAATTGCAATTTATCCAACAATCCAACATTGATTCTTCATTCACTTTCAACTCACTCACAAAATGAATCCTGACAGGAATAACTTTTGCTCGATCAAACCGACATTGATGTGGTGCTGAGATATGCCACCCTCATGGTTTTACCACTAATACGTAGGGAGGTGCTCCTATATATGGGCGACAACTTTTCCCTGATCTCGGGGTTTAACGAGAGCCGCTACCGACTATCGCCTGTAAATACGGATGACTACGACATTTTTGAGATGGAGCCCATACCGTGGACCAGAACAAAGGGAATTCCAAAAAGAATGACGGGCTGAAGAATATACCCAAGCAGAAAGCTTGATATTGGTAAAGTTCAATGTCTACGTACGTCTCGTTGGACGCCATCGTCAAGAGTTTTTAGAAAACTCGGATGTTTTGGGAGCATGTTGCAGGGAAGTACAACGCTAGAAGGCCCAATGATACGCTCGGATGTGACATGGAGATCTTCAGAAGCACTGGGGGCGTGTGCATAAGGCTGTCCAACTATTAAGCGACATGTATGTCGATGTCCTGAAGACGTGGCCCAGTGAGAGCAACGTTGCTGACATTCTCCGAAAGCGAAGGACCTCTTTTTTCAAGCGAAAAAGAAATTTTTGTTTCCATATCTTGGATGTCTAGAACCTTTTGCAGAAGAACTCTATATTTTGCGTTGAGGCCTAGGCTGGTGGATCGGCACCGAAGCAAACCAAACTCTCTAGGACTTGTTCGTACTCGACAAGGGGGGGATCCATCGATCTCAACGCGTCGGGTATGACTTCAACACTCTTGGGGACGAACCCTGCACTAGCTTAGAATTGTCGATTAGGACGAAGGCCACAAAGAAAGCAAAGGCAAAGGCTATGAGCATGCCACACGCATCCCCACCAAACTCGTTGTTGGAGACAATGTATAATTTCATGGACAAAATGGGCATCTCTATTAATATCCTCATGAAGGAGGATATGTCATTGATATCGAAGAGGTAGCTAGGTAGCTTTAGATTCATAACGACGTGATCGACACGGCCCACACCAAGGAGAAAGTAGTAGCATTTGTTTTTAATTTTTAAATTTCTAAGCACTTTAATTTTTTAGTATTGGTATTTTTAATTTAACTTTCAAGCACTTACAAATTTTTAGTATATGTAATATTAATTTTTTTTCAAGCACTTTTTATATTTTTAGTGTTTGCAATTTTAGTTTTATTTTCAAATATGTTAAATCTCCCCCATTTTATTCATATAGTATTTGGCATTTTATTACATCTACAATTTTTAAACGAAAATATATGAAAAATGTAAACTAAATTGAAAGGTGAGGCAAAAGAGTGATAACATTGCAAATGTTTTGGCCAATTACAAAAAATAGAGGGATGATGATGTGGTAGTGAAAAAGATTGAGGGGAGGCTTGGGGAGAAGGTTCCATTGTAAGGGTCCTAAGACAATTGGGTTTATCACATTAAAAAATTAAATTATTACCTCGTTCAAATCAAGAATTTATTTACACATTATTATTTCTTCAAGCTTTCGGTTGTGGAATACTTTAACACTTATGCATAAAAAATGAGTACAAAGAAAAAAATAAAATTATTAATTTGGTTTTTGTCACATTATATAATTTATCTGAAGTACATAATTTAAAACAAATTCATACCTTAGCAGATTGGATTTGGTTTTTGTCCACTATCATTCATTTTGAGCAAGTTATACCGAATGAGTTGTATTTGGGCTGATTTAACAAAATCTTTGATCGATTCACATATTGAGCCAATTTTGTCATATCTAATTTTAATTTTTCAGTGTTGTTAAATCCTCCCATTTTTTCTGCTAAATTTACATAATTTGTTATACAATTGTATAAATTTACTCCTACAAGTATTAAAAAAAGGTTACGTGAGCTTAATTTAAGGATAAAGTTGACTTAATTTAGTTCACGAAAATAACAACTTAATGTAAGTTAACCAAAAAAACGAAAATAACAAGTTAATTTAATGAGACTTTAAGGCAAGATTTACAGTGTTTTGTTGGGCTGGAGACCAGGTCCTACAGTATTTTGAATTTGTGACACTTTTGGCCAAATTTAAATATAAAATGCAATATCAAAATGGTCTTTTTTCTTCTTTTTTTTCTCCTTTTTTATTTCAACAAAACTACATAGTAGAGTAGAATTTACCACCCACACATGAATAAGTCATCTAGGTAATCTCATGAAACTTCATCTCTCACAATGGCCATTATTAATCCACACTATCAATACTTCTGCAAGATTAACTTATGTGGGGGGAGAAAAGAGTGTTTACGGGGCACGAAGGAAGGTGTGAATGTATATTTACAGTATACGGACTACATCTACTAGACTATTGGATCAATCAATCTTCCAAAAACTGAAATCGGGAGTATAAAATTGTTTTCAAAAAAAAGAAAAAAGAACGGACTAAAAAGAAGGGAAATACTCCGTACTTTTTCCTTTTTTTTGGAAACAATTTTATACTCCCTATTTCAGTTTTTGAAAGATTGATTGATCCAATAGTCTAGTAAATGTAGTCCGTATACTGTAAATATACATTCACACCTTCCTTCTTGCCACATTATTAATCCCTCCCCCCACCCCCCAAACCCCCCAAAAAAACATGGGTAAGTCAGCTAGGTAATCTCATGAAACTCCATCACTCACAATACTTTCATGGCAAAATTTTCTGGCTGTCTGTTATGCACAAATGTAG